AGTGGGTGCAGGACACTGTAGTTCATTTATGTAAGTGAGGATAGCAAAATAAAGTAAACTGTGATAAATTATACCCAAAAATTCTTCATACGGTGGACTACCAGTAAAACTGATCAAAAATTTGGGACCAAAAATTATTCAGACCGAATCTGGGAAAAACATTGAAGTTGAGGTTTGCATGAAGCTGGATGACAGCATGCCCAGGAGACTACAGGCTGTCATTAAGGCTAAAGGTTGCCCGGCTAAGTATTGATAGTTGTGTAAATAATACTGTCATACTAACAGCTGACTGAATAATTTTTGGTTGATTGTAATCCATTACATACCTTTCTATCAACGTTATATAACATTATCAAGCTGAATTTGTTCTGACACAGTTTATCTCTGAGTTCTTGTCATATTTTATTACCATTTTCTAAACTATAGCAAATAAACTGATAATGTGAGAAATGTTGAAGGTGTCTGAATAAATTTTGGTTTGACTGTATCTATTTGATAAATGAAGTTAACCATCTTACATTATACATACTCTTTTGGTTTATGTACCCAATATTGTAAAAATTCACAAATGCAATAAAAATATTGGTATCGGTACTCGGTATCAGCAAGTACCAAAAATAAAAGTATCGGTATCGGGCGAGTACTGGAAAAAGTGGTATCGGTGCATCCCTATTATTATTGTTGTTGTTGTACACAGTATATCACCATTAGTGCATTACCAGTTTTGATTCGCACTTGTTTTCTAGTTAGTACCTCACAGCTGTGTACTCACTGTTGAGGTTTAGAAACACGTTACCACAGAGTGTGAGAACTACAGAGTTTGACCACACTGCTTCAACGCACCCAGTTTAGACTGATAGCTGTAAATTGTCACACATTCAGATGCAGTTCCTCTTCTTTCTTTAAGTGAACGACTGCATGGCTTTCAACTCTATCTTTTCAGTTCATGATCGCGTATGATTCGTTCAGCATAACAGAAGTTAAACCAAATTTAAATTGAATTAACCAAATTGACCAATTGCAATTTGTCCCCCTAAGCATGATGTTAAAAAAGTGTTCCTGTCATTGGGTGTTGTTAGTTCTCTGCTAGAGTTACATGTATCATCAGTTTAATAGTGCAGCAGCAGTGCTTGAAGTTGGCCGTTATGCACTGGTACACAGTACCGGCACTTCTATATTTTAGTCTTTACCGTACCAGCACTTCTGACATGTTGCCAGTACTTACAGTCAAAGCGTCAGTGTATGAGCGATTAGAAATTAAACTATATAAACCAACACTCATCTCGACAAATCACGTGAATGAATGCAAGCTGAGTCGGTCAACCAGTGGTTTTCAAAGGGGAGCCACGAGAGCATGTCAGGGAGTGTGCAGAGTAGTAAAATAATAATTAACTACTGATTTTAATCAGTCAATTTTAACAAAAACAATACCTTATAAAAATGAAAAGAAGCAGGTTTTTGCGATCAGATCAACCGGTAAACTCCTGGAAAGTCCAAAGATCCAAAAAGCGAATGCATTGAAACAGTAAGTTCAAAACAGAGCTAATGCAGAGAAAACATGGCCCATTTCATCAGAGATGGCAGAGATAATAGTACTCGCGTACAGATGTCAAAAAAATTATTCTTTTCAGCATGTAGCTATTTGGAAGGTGAAGGTCTGAAGGTGTTTTAAGTCCGAGACACTGCACGATTTTTTTGGCTGTCCCAGACGAAAGATTAGCATTGTGAAACAATCGTGGTGATTTCTGGGATCGTGACTCCTAATCGGTGGTCCTGTGTCATACACTGAGAGAGGTCCAAATACGGCCCTTGTCACAGCCTTGCGACCAAAGATAGCCTATGATAATTTTCTGACAGTGTCAGAAATTCAGCATGATCATCACACAGTTATTATTACGATGAGACGTTAAACTGAGGTCCTGACTCTCTGTGGTCATTTAAAATCCCAGGACTTCCTTTGAAAAAGATTCGGAGTGTAACCCCAGTATCCTGACCAAATTTGCCTATTGGTCTCTGACCATCACCATGGCCTTCTAATCATCCCCATATACTAATTGGCTTCTTCACTCTCTCTCCTCTCCACCAATAAGCTGGTGTGTGGTGGGCGTTCTGGTGCAATATGGCTGCCATTGCATCATCCAGGTGGATGCTGCACATTGGTGGTGGTTAAGGAGCTTCTCCTCTTCCATGTAAAGTGCTCTGAGTACCCAGAAAAGCATTATATAAATGTAATGAATTATTATTATTATTATTATTATTATTATTATTATTAGATCCATGCCACACAGTGTGATTTGCAATGATCTTATAGGACTGCTAAAATCGTGCAGTCTGTAGAAGGCTTTGGTTTAGTAATTCTGAATTGAATTGCAAACAATTATTTATTTATTTATTTATTGTGGCACTATATACATTCATTGCAAATTATGAAAATTAAAAAAAGTACTTTTTAGTACTTTAGTTTGTATTTATTTATTTTTGGGTGGGGGAGTAGGGTTGAGTACCGCCACTTTTTTCCACTTCAAGCACTGATTTTATGGAAAACTAAGTGAGTGGTGCTCTGTGGTGCGGCAGGATTTGGAACAGTGTCATGAGTCGCTGCGGTCAGTAACTTTAACTTAATGTTCTTAAACTGAATGTACAAAGCAAACTGT